CTCCCAGGGCCTGGAACAAAGGCCCAGGTGACCTGGCCACTGCCCTGTCCCTAGCCCTGCCTGCTGGCCCCGGTGATTCTCAGGCAAGGATTGAAGGCTCTCCCATGCCCTGCCGGGGCTTTGGCTCTGACACACCTCTTCCCTTTCATCTTTTGCCAGACAAAGTCTCAGGGCATCAACAGTGCCGCTTTCACAGAGCAGCCTTGAGGAAGGGGAGGGGGAGGGGGAGGCCAGGCTCTGGCTGCCAGAAGCCTGTGGGTGATTGTGTCCCCACTGCCACCTGGAGGCACCCCTTAGCAGAGGCCAACTGGGGAAGCTGGTTTGCTGTGGTCTCCCAAAGTGACCTTGGGCAAGTCCCTAGGGGCTCTTCCACTGAGGAAGGCTGGCATTCTAAGGAAGAGCTGTGACCTTCAGTTTTCCAAGTTCATCTGGGCACCAGGCAGAGCCCCTGGTCGTGTACCGTGACCCCTTCCATTTGTGTCCTTCACAGCAGCAGTAGTAGCTACAAGCTGTACAGAGATCATGTACAGCTTGGGCAGGTGGGGAGGTGGGGCTGGCTGGCCTGACTCCCTCTCTGTCCTGTCCCCAGGGTCTATGAATACCAGAGGATCCGGATGCCCCCACTCATCAACCACATGCCTGTCAAGATCCGGAGGGCCCACATGGGCATGGGGGTCAGGAGCGGCTTCAGCCCCCAACGGGTCTCCAGGAACAGCCCCCTGCCCTCTGGGCAGAAAAAGTGTGAGTGGGGGCCACAGTCACACCTGCAGTGCTAGGGAGCAGTTGGGTGGCCGCACCAGCTGTCACGGCAGGCCCCGGAGCCCAGCCTGGGCACCAACCCTGCCCCTCTCCCCGCAGTCCGCACCGAGGAGCTGCATGACATCCAGGGGGCGCTGTGGCAGATCAAAGCCCAGGTGGACAGTCTGCTGCAGAGCCTAGAGCGCATGGACCCGCAGCAGGTCCCACCCGCAGGTCTGATCCCCATGTTCTGTGGGAGCCCAGCTTTCCCCACAGGCCTGGGGCCCTGCCTGTGCCTTTCCCTGTCTTCAGGTCTCCCGACCCGGAGTACACTCCCCACTCCCCATCCCTGGGCTGTACTTGAGGCTCAAGGACTCTTGTGGCTTCTGAGTCACCCCCACCCACTCAGCAACCGCCTGGAGACAGAGCCACACGTCCCAGCCCATCTGTTTCTTGCCCTCTTGAGTCTTAGAGGCCCTAGGTCATTGCTGGGCATTAAGTGGCCTCTCTGGGGTCAGCTGGGGCCTCCAAACCCAGCCATTGACTGATGACCTTCTCTGCACAGCCACAAAGGACAGTGGAAAAAACAGGGGTCCTGGTAGCAAGGGCTCCTCCTGCAGCTCTGAGCCCCCGCAGAAGCCCCGGAGCGAGGGGGCTGGTCCAGAGGCAGATGGCTACGAGGGCGGCACAGACACAGAGTGGACAGTGAGTGACCTGGCCCCGCTGCCCCATCTCCACCGTACTTGGGTTCCTTGTGGCCTCCCTGTGAGCAAGGGGGAGGGCCTCTCTGGTCAGTACAGGAGCCCGAGGTAGTACAGAGGGGGAGCTGTATTCCCTTTGTCACAGAGTCATGCCCAGTAGGCTGGGCCCTGTCCTGTTTTCTGCCTCCCAACCCTGGGCTTGGAGGGCTCAGCTGTGCCAGGGTCGGTTCTAGGCTGAAATACTTTCTCCCAGAAGGCAGTGGGGGGACAGGGCTGGAGCACCGTAAAGGGAATGTCACCGGTGTGCCCCATGGCCCCAGACCCCTGTCTGAGACCCAGCTGGAAAGCTTGTCTCAGGTTTCAGCCGGGTGCAGTGGCTCATGCCTGTAATCCCAGCACTTTGGGAGGCCGAGGCAGGTGGATCACCTGAGGTTGGGAGTTTGAGACCAGCCTGACCAACATGGAGAAACCGTCTCTACTTAAAATACAAAAAATTGGCTGGACGTGGTGGCTCACGCCTTTAATCCCACCACTTTGGGAGGCTGAGGCACGTGGATTGCGAGGTCAGGAGTTTGAGACCAGCCTGGCCAAGATGGTGAAACTCCGTCTCTACTAAAAATACAAAAATTAGCTGGGCACGGTGGTGGGCGCCTGTAATCCCAGCCACTTGGGAGGCTAAGGCAGGAGAATCACTTGAACCCATGAGGCAGAGGTTGCAGTGAGCCGAGATCATGCCGCTGTGCTCTAGCCTGGGTGACAGAGACTTCATCTCAAAAAATAATATATTAGCCTGGTGTGGTGGCGCGTGCCTGTAATCCCAGCTACTCTGGAGGCTGAGAGAATTGCTTGAACCCGGGAGGCGGAGGTTGCTGAGCTGAGATCGCACCATTGCACTCCAGCCTGGGCAACAAGAGCAAAACTCCGTCTCAGAAAAAAAAAAAACCCCCAGCTTTCTGCGCTCTTCCTGCTTCTGCAGGGTCTCTGGCTGCCGCATGGACCATGCCCCCTGGGGAAGCTGTGGCACACTAACCTTCCTGGAACTGGTAACAGCCCTGTGTTACCAGCCCTGTGTTACCAGCCCTGTGTTAGAGGACCTGAATATTCCCTGCCCATCCAAAACCACCACCTCTTGCTGGTCTGAGGCAGGCCATGCCCGGCCCACAATGGGGCTGGAGCCCTCCCCCATCTACCCACCCAGCTCTGTGTTCGGTCTGCTGGGCTCAGGAGCGCTTTCACTGCTGCCCAGATCCTGAGTCACACCTGTAATATCTGGGAAAAGAATGGCTACATGTAGACGACTGCTTTCTTTAGCCTGGTGGTTCTGAGTTTCTAGGTCTTAGGTAGAATATAGAGAAGCCCTGAGCTGCTAAAGCTCTGGGGAGGAAATGGAAATCGGGGTGTGGGGGAGACTAGATGTTGTGAGTAGGTGGCCCCCCTTTCCTAGCCTCCCATGCCTCCGGCCCCTCTGCCACTGCCCTGCTTCTGTTTTCCCTACAGGTGAAGAACCACGCTGAAGACCAGGCCAGCCAGGAGGCAGCAGGAACCCCTCCGGCCTCATCAGCTCCTGGCATTCTCGGATAGATAGCTCCTTGCCTTGCGTAGGTTTTGAAAGCCACCTTAGCAACCTGAGATGCCTGATCTGGAGCTGGGGCAACGGAAGTGGACACAGGGCTTGGCCAGACAAGCAGAGGGCCAACCTGTAGTGGTGGGTTTAGCTGCTTTAGAGGTTGCATTTCGAGATGATGGTCCTGGGACTGACAGGGTTAGGAGGGAGGTGGCCTGGGACTGCACCAGGTCGCCATCCTCATGAAGCTGAGGCTCTCTTGCAAGGGGCAGATGACAGCCCATCCCCACCCCACCCCACCCCAGCGCTCAGAGGGCACCCTCAGCCTTGTCTGAATGCAGACACAGCTGATCTTCACTCCCCTCCCGATGCACCGCCAGTCAACAGATAGCCAACAGATCTCCCTGAGTTTCCGATCTCCCTGAGTTTCCAATCTCCCTGAAACTGCTGGAATGTTCTCAGTGTGTACCCCACACAGCCCTCTTTGGGCTCCAGACTCCCCATCTACTCTAGGAAGTCACCCTTCAGAATTACATTATGTCCTGTCCCCACCGGTGTGATACTATTTCAGACCTGCTCTAGAAAGACACATTATGTCAGAAGGGAAAAAATAAAATTTGTATTTTTCCTGGTCAGGGATTCTGGGTGTGGCCCCAGAAACTCATTCTGGTCCTTGGGCTGACCCAGGCCGGCCCTTCCTAGAGAAGCTGAGTGCAGAGAGGGGACCAGGCCGCCTTCCAAATGGGAGTCACCTGGCTTCCTCCCATGCAGTCTTGAGCCCAAACCAGCAGAGCTGGTAGCGACACAGGAAAGACCCCACCTCGTGGTGAGTCAGTCAGGTTGTACCTGGCCTTCCTAGCAGTGCACCTGCCCTCTGCGGTGCTGCTCAAGGTCTTCCTTGTAGGACCAGGGCACCACTTCTCACCAGCAGTGGAGGCTTGGGTTGTGCCATTCTGCACATGGCCAAGGACAGATGGCTTCTACCCAGAGCAAAACTCTTTTCAGCTACCCAGCACCAAGCCAGGTTGGGGTATGAGGTGCACTCAGTGCACTTCTGGGGCCGTACTTTTTCCTGAGACGGAGTCTTGCTCTTGTTGCCCAGGCTGGAGTGCAATGGTGCGATCTCCACTCACCGCAACCTCCCTCCCGGGTTCAAGCGATTCTCCTGCCTCAGCCTCCCGAGTAGCTAAGATTACAGGCATACGCCACCATTAGTGCTGGCTAATTTTGTATTTTTAGTAGAGACGGGGTTTCTCCATGTTGGTCAGGCTGGTCTCGAACTTCCGACCTCAGGTGATCTCCCCGCCTTGGCCTCCCAAAGTGCTGGGATTACAGGTGTGAGCCGCCGCGCCCGGCCAACTCTCCCTACTCTCGTATCTCAGCAGTTCCCCTGACTCTGGTTCGTGTCAGGGCAGCTGCTTCTCCAAATCACAGCGCTCCCATCAGGCTCTGCAGGTCTTTTCAGCCCGTCTCTCCTGTTCACGTGGGCCTAAGGAACAGAACCCGTTTAAGGCAATGCCGCTGCGACCCTTGACACCTGGGATGCAAGAACAAAGGAGCCTTGCTCTCTAAGTCCCGGACCAAGAAGAACCACACCAGAAGACGTTTTTCAAATATAAAAGGGTCTTTCTTTTGGCTCAGACACAGAAGGCACAGTCGTCTTGTCCATCCTCTGAAAAGTCGCCCAGTTATATCGGAGGGAGTCACTGGCTGTCCTGAATGACAGCAGCTCTAGGTACCAGCTTCTAGGTAAGTCCAGCTAAAGTTTCCAACTTGGGAGTCAGGATGCGCTCACAGGTTTCCTCAACTGGGTCGCAGCTAAGGGCCGGCTCAAGTAAAGTTCCTTTAACGAGGTTTGTAAAAACCCTTTCCAACACCACAGCTGTCCGGCGCCTTGGCTCTCCTAGGGCCTACCCAAGTGCTCTCCAGGGCTCCGGCTGCTTATCTCGACGCAGGCTGGAGGCCGACGGCGCGGGTCTTTTCAGGGACGGCGGCAGCACGGTCCTTGGCTTGCGTCCGTCGGTGCTCAGGCTTCTAGTTCAGGGCTGGGCGGCGGCGCCCCTGCGGCGGGCCGCCCGCACCAGGCTCTGCTGCAGCACGGGGTAGAGGCGCTGGCAGCCCTCGAGGCCCAGGCGTACGGCCTCCGCCCAGCTCTCGATCAGGCCGCCCTCGCCGCTGCCCAGCAGCCCGGCCACCTGATTCAGCACAGGCATGAGCGCCACGGTGAGGCCGGCGGCGGCGCGCTCTTCCTCTAGCCGCGTGGGGTCCAGCAGCCAGGTGGGCGCGGGCCCTGGCGCGAGGCTCAGGCCACAGCCCACCACCAGGTCGTACATCTCCACGCCAGCGTCGGCCAGGGCGAGCGCGGCGGCGGTGAGCGCGGCGGCCAGGGCCGAGCCGCCGTCCTCCAGCAGCAACGCCGACACCTCGAGCTGCGCGCGCGGGTAGCGGCCCAGGCGCACGGCCGGCTCCAGCGCTTCCTGCAGCGCTAGCGCCAGCTCACGCTCCTCGCCGCCGCCCGGGGGAGCGCGGCGCCGGCGGCCCGCGAAGGGCGCGCGACGGAAGTCGCACAGCAGGCGACCGCGCAGCGCGGCCGGGGCTTCGCCGCCAGATCCGGCCGGGCCGCCGCCGCGCTCGCCGCCCTCGGCCTGTCGCGGGCCCGACACTGCACACAGCACCTTGGTGCCTCCCGCCTCCAGGTAGGCCGAGCCTTTGGCCTGGCTCAGCAGCCCGGCGCGCGCGTACACGGGCCGCAGTCGCGTTGGGTCGCGGGCGGCGGGCGCCTCCTCCTCATCGGCCGCGTACAGTTGCGGCGGCTGCGACTCTTCAGGGCCGCGAATGCGGCGGTGGTCCCCGGGCATGGCGGTTCCTGGCGTGCGAGCCGCTTCCGCCCAACGCACTGCCGCACCCACTGGTTCTTCCGTTGCTTAAAGACGCGCGCCTGCGTGAGGGCTGTCGGGAGAGTGACGGGCGGCGCTACAGCGCCCGCTGGAGGCTCGGAGGGAGAACGGCCGGCGTCCCTGGCGCCCTGGTCCCACTTGTGCAGGGCTGCCTGATCCATCCATCCTGCTGGAAGTGGGAGAGCAGCTCCAAGGCTTCTTTGCTTCCACTTACCCCACCCATCTACTGAACTATGAACGCCTTGCTCCATATCACCCTACCTATTTGGCCTCCACCTCCACAAACGTTTGAGGCAACCCGAGGGGCTTTTCCCAAAATTTAGGGTTCTGGGGCTGGACTAGGTGAACACTACAGCAGCCAGTAGAAGCCACAGCATTTATTCTACAGACAGACACCAGGGGCCAAGGGCTGTCAAAACAGCGAGCCCCACCTGGGAAGAGGGATAGAGATCATACGGCATTAAGTATTGCACGTGGTCCTTTTATTCTCTGCAGCAAAAAACGATTCGTCCTTGCTGACACGGAAAGCTCAGGCTGGAGAGCTGTTATCTACAGATGCGAGTGTGGTGATCAACAGCAATGCGGGGGTAGTGGTTCTCGACAGATGGCACTGACGTGGAGGGCTCAGGGCAGAAGTAGAAGGGGCGCTGAGTCACAGGACTGCTCGTGAGGGTGTTCCAGGTACTGCCGGGGTAGGAGGGGCTCTCAGAAGGTCCCAGGATTCAAATGTTCTTGTAGCAGATGAAGAGCTCCCGGCTGGACGGATGGAGCCACTGGGAGCCACCTCCTCCCCCGCTCAGTTCTTTACATCGCCGAGGCGCAGCTGGGCGAAGGAAGTGGCCAGCTGCAGCGCCTCCTGCAGGCAGCCAATGTTTTTGCCTGTGGCCTGTGCAGACACATCCTTGCCACCACCTTTACCGTCCATCAGGCCTGACACCTGCTGCACCCACTCGCTGGCTTTTAAGCCCCGATTGGCTGCATTCTAGAAGAAAGGAAGGGAAGGGGGAAGTCAGGACAGAAAATGGGATTGAGGGAGGAACGAAGGGAAAGAAAGGATGGAGGAGCCATCACCCACTCCTTGCCCTGGGTGATACTGCTGGAGGCCGAGACAGACTTTACGGCTAGTGCAGGGGGCAGTCATGGCCACTGCCAGGACAGGACAGAGTGGCAAAGCCAAGTATCAACCAGACAGATGCAACCAATGAGGCGGCCCGGGTAAGGGGTACTGGCAAAGGTGACCAACAGGCAGGCAGGAGACAGGCTCTTTTAAATGCAGGTTGTACCCACACAGGCCTCAGCAAACAAGTTTAAGACCCAACACTTCCCACTGGTACAAGGTGGTTCTGACCTGAGGGACTTGACACAGGCACGTGATCTTGCCAGCCTCGTTGTCTACCGTGAAGAGCATGGCAGACGTCTGAGGGGAGTGTGTCTTGAAGAGCTTCAAGGCTTCATTCAGGGCCTGTGGGGAGGACCTGGCTCAGACCATGGTGCTGGAGCAGGGACCCTCACTAGTGTGAGCATTTGCAGCCCTCAGGACTGCCACCCACCCCCACCCCTTCCCAGAGCAGATATAGTCCTCAGGGCCTGGGTGGAGGACCCCAGTGCTGGGCCCTGCCCACACCCTGGCCCAGGTGTGCCTCCCACATGCAGGGAGCTGCTGCTCCTCCCACCCTTCATCCCAGACAGTGGGCCCTTAGGCAACCACTTGGCTCAGAGCCACAGAGGTCACATATCAGCCACCAAAGGGCTGATGAGCCCCAGGGGAGGGGGCCCCGGCCCCTGGGTTGCCTTGGCTGAGGCACCGCTCTCCATCTCCAGGATGACGAGGGGCTGGTTGGGGTTGCTGTCGATGAGCTGCTTTGTCTTCTCTAACACCTGCAAGAAAAAAGTCCAGAAGAGCAGCTCAGACCAAAAGCACAAGCCTTGAAGCCCTGGCTGTATCCTGCCGGCCTTTGCCTAGGAAACACTATGGCCACCGGTGCTGCCAGGACTCACTCGTTTCTGGACATCGGCTTTGCTGGCTCGGTCTAGGTCATCCATGACCTTCTTTAGGGATTTGAGAGTCTCCCGCAATTCGTCCTTCTGCCACTGGGGGATGACTGCAGTGGCCAGGGCCTGGAACCAGAACCAGAAGACCATCTGAATCTGGGCCACAACTTGCTGGGATGTCAGGGTCCAGCCCACCCCACCTGAACCCAAGTCCTCCCTGACTAGTGTCCTGGAAAGGAAAGCAAAAACACAAAGCTGTCTTCTGGCTTTGAGACCAGTCCCTTCTGGAGCAGCTGCGGCAGGTAAAGCAAGCAGGGCTAGAGAGAGGAACAGTAGAAAGCTGGGCTCCAAGTCAGGCCCAGACCTTACCAGGCTGGGAACAGCCTGTGATGAGCTTCCTGGCAGCTTGAAATGCAAATAAATGCCAGGCAAGCTTGGAAGCAGGGGGCAGCCTTTTGCTGTTCTCCAAATCCCTCCACCCCAGTGCCCACACATGCTTGGGAAGAGCTCTCCTGCTAGCAATGGGGGCAGCAGGGAACCTCCAGGGTCCAAGGCCAGGATCCATGAGGTCCCTGCTACAAGGCTGCAGGCCCACAGAAGTCAGCCCAAAGGCCCATTCCACCAAGAACCAGGGCCTGACTGACTACAGATTTACTGAAGCCAGGGCATGTCTCATGCGTCAGGCCCTGAGGAGGGAGGGAAGCCACCCCTACCTCTCCAAGGTCAGCGATTTCCCTCTGCACGTCCTTGTTTGGAGCAGTCTGGGCCTTCACTTTGGCTTCCATGACAGAGAGAGATTTCTTCAAGCTCTCTGCTTTCCTGAGGGCCTGGGAGGGGACACCGGGTCAACCCCAGGCAAGAGGCCTGAGTCAGCCTCACTATCCTGGGTCTGAGCGGCTGCAGAAGCCCCAGTGGTAGGCCCTGTAGCAACATACCCCAAAAGTGTCTGTGGGGAGCAGGTACTGGCAGCACTAGGCCCCAGCAAGGAACACAGTGCTCACAGGCCCACTGGCAACGGCTGTACCCAACTCAGACCTAGGGATAATCAAACTCGAGAATCAGGAACCCCATCACCTAGGAAGTGGCTAACCCTGCGGCTTTAGCACAAGTCAGACACACCAGGTCCCATGACAGAGCACCCATCCTCTACTGCACAGCCTCAAACTAAGCACGCCCCTAGGGGTACATGGATCAGTGCCAGGGGCCCTGAAGCCACAGCGAATCTATGTCTTACACCCTCCTCCACATGGAGATAAGAGGGGGTAGATAGCCAGATTTACATATATTTTAAGACTAAACACAGGAAAGCTAGGAAATCTTGTGTGGTGGCAGGTTTCTTCTGCCAAGGAGGGGTAGGACACTGGGGCAGGGGGAGTGGCCCAGTCTCCACTTTCACTCTGACTGCAGCAGCCGCGCAGAGCACTGTTTGCTCTATGGATTCACAGACTGGGCTCCTCTTGCCCTCTTCAGATAAGCCACAAACCAGCCTGACCTGCTCACCTTCTGGGCTTCGGCACCCGTGACAGCCACGATCCTCCGGATACCCTTGGCGATGGCTTCTTCCGTCACGATCACAAAAGCTCCTGCGTGACTTGAGTTCCGCAGGTGCCTGAGTAGCAGAAAACAAAGGTCGTGGTGAAAGAGGTCCTTGGCAGCCCTTGGCTGGGGGTCCCACTAGCGGACAAGAGAAGCAGGAATGGGTTCAAAGTCAGGGAAAGCCTGGGCTTGGGAGTGTTCTGACACCGAGTGAGACACCAGCTCACCAAGCCTGAGTGTTCGCAGCTCTCAGATGGGGATGATGCTCCCCACGTAGCTGCTATGAAAATCAAATGAGGCAACCAGGAAAGTGCTTTGTGGTCCCTAATATCCAATACAGTCTTACCATTAGGCTCTACGTCACAGTTTTGGTTCTGTGGTCTATTTTTGTATTCCTATTCATTAGGGGACAATTTGAGGACTGCTGTTAAAATCTTACCACAACCCCTTGAACAAATAGGCTTTATTTCAGTTGTTCAGAGAACCTCAAATGCTCATTAATTCATCCTCATTCTTTGACAGTGGTATAAAGGTTTTTTTTTTTTTTTTTGAGACAGAGTCCTGTTCTGTTGCCCAGGCCTGCAGTGCAATGGTGCAGTCCGTGGCTCACCACACCTCCCACCTCCTGGGTTCAAGTGATTCTCCTGCCTCAGCCTCCCAAGTAGCTGGGAAACAAGCACCTGCCACCACTCCTGTTAATTTTTGTTAGTTTAGTAGAGACAGGTTTTCCCCATGTTGCACAGGCTGGTATTGAACTCCTGACCTCAAGTGATCCACCTGCCTCACCCTCCCTAAGTGCTGGGCATGAGGCACCGCACCCAGCCCTGTGTATAAAGTTTGTTGGAAACTGTTTCCTGCCCAATTCAAGCTGGGCAGAAAAGGCCTGAACTCAATCCCCAGACCCCATACCCTAACTCTGCCAATCCCATTGCTCCCTGCCTGCAAA